TTTTTTCTTTTAATGAGTTGTCAATACTCCAATTAACAGTTTTAAAGTATTTATCATTTCTTTACTAAATTTAAATTTAAGTTATGATCAAATTCAATATAAAAAAAAATAACAAATATTTTGAAACAGTTGAACTAAATGATTAAGTATTTTCCTTTCCGTCATATATATATATATATATATATGTATATTGAGAAAACACATTTTTGTCATATAATTAATGAATGAATTATGTTAAAAAAAAAATTCTTTTTAGAATTTCATATATCATTCTCTGCCCATTTTAAAATAAAAGATGAGACATGTAAATACCAATATCTTAAAATGTACAAAGTAGTCTTTTACTTTAAAAAAAAAAAAATAGATCTGGGTGTTATTAAGAATAGCCCATTAGCACTGTAATTGTTTATAATCAATTATTTGGATTATTTTTAAAAAAAATGAAAAAAAATGTACTTATTGGGCTGTAGTGATTCAGAAGTGGGCCACTTGTGGGCTCACTGTGGTGGCCATCTACGGGCCATGTAAAGATAAAACCAGGCTTAGAATGGAAAGTTCTATGGCTGAACGGAAGAACCAGATCACACCTTATCATCTTCGGCTGACAGCCCAGCCCAGAGTCTAATGGATGGGCACACAACGTATTAAGGGATGGTGCGATTAAGACACACAACGCATCCCATTGTAAACGCTTGGCGTTTTCAATTTTTCGATATGGGACAAAAGACATACCAGTTACCAGTAAGGTTGACTTTTATTTTGGACTCTCAAAAGAACAATAAAATTAACGCATCAAGAGAACAATAAAATTAACCCATCAAGACGGTCTGGGTTTGTAACAAATATATTTTTATAATTAATTTACACAAAAAAATTATAAAAATTAATTTTTATTTTAATGTTATAATAACCTAGATAATTTTAATTAGTTAATTGATTAAATTTAAGTTGTTTTTGTTACTTTTTTTTGTATATTAATTATAAAAAGGTATATTTATTGTACTATTAACTTCAATACAAAGTAAAAAAGCCTTCTATATATAGTATTAGTAAGTTAAACTTTTTATTCTTAAATAATGTGGGATTAAGATATTTCTTTATATATAATACTTGTAAGTTCTACTTTTTATTTAAGGATGATATGAGATTTTTTTTTTTATTTCACAATTTTACTTATGTATCTATAAAAGAATAAAAGATCCATCAAATAAAAACAATAAAAAAAAAAACTTATCAAATTGAATGCAAATTTCGATTCTAAAAATTAAAAATCTCATATTATCTATTATATATTCTCTTATTCATATATAATTTGATATGTAGTATGATTGCAATTTGATTTTGGTTCAATTTTTTATCCATGTAGTACCACAAAACTATGGTATCGTTGCTCTGCTAGAATAGGAATTTAATTTCAATTATAAGCATTATTTATCTTGTAGTTTGAAGTAAATTATTTTACACATAAGAATGAGATTAGAGTGTAATTATTAGTCTATATGTCTAAATTGATAAAAAAAAAATACGTAATCTTTGTTTTGAAATTGTTGGATAAAGAAAAAACAACCTCTATTTGACTAGTAAAGACTATATATATACGCGTTCATATAACAATCCTCATGAAGTTATTATATCTAAATAAAAAATAATATTAAAACATAATTTATTATTTATTTAAAAAAATACATATCAATTTCAATTTTTTTTAAAAAATTAAAATGATAATCTTAAATTACATTGTTTTATTTAATTAAAACTTAATTTAAAATTTAAAAATTTATTTATTAAATATTGATATTCAAATTTAAAAATTAATTTAATTTTTAAATTTTAAATTAATATTTTAAATTTTAAATATAAATTAAAACTATAATTTTTTTTAAAATTAAAACTAATACATATTAATTTCATATATTCATATATAAGTTACTATCATTAAATTAAATACAATATCACTTATAAAGTTGCGACGATGTGCTCGAAATGAACCAGTTTCAGACTGCTGAAGTGACAGTTTGCCACATAGCTGAAGTCTCCTTGTCCTCTGCTCCCAGTTCCACGGAGGGATCATTGAGGATGCAGCACTTGATCTATACCTTCGTGAAGTTCACTCTCCCACCACGTCATAGACAATAATTAATCTTATTGAATGGAATAGCCATTAACAGAAAAAATGTGGAGGGTATCTATTATCAAATATTGTCTCTCACGTACTCTTCCTTTAGGAAGTAGAGGTGATGTGTTCGTGTTATGATAGCATTTTGGATGGGTGGAAATGGAAAATGAGAGAGTTAGGTCAAGGGTTGGTCAGGGAAATTAAAATTGACATGTTTTTATATGTTTGTATTTAAAAACTACTATTTTATTTTCTATAATTGATTGATAAATAGTTTTGTAAAAGTTAAATGTTGTTTTTAGTTTTTAAACTTTTAAATTGAAACTTATAAGTATAGGGATTAAAAATATCTATATATGAACATATTTAATGAATTAACTAATAGAATAATTAAAAAAATATATTTTTTATAAGTTAAAAATTAAAAAAAAATGTATTTCTCGTAGCTTAAAAACTAAGAATCGAAAATAACATTTAACATTTTGTATATAAAAATCTTAGTAGAAATTAACAATTGCCGTTACTTTTTAATTATATATGGAAAGAAAAAGTTTTTCAATTATCATTTATTTATTATATAAAATATTAAATTAAATCTCATGTAAAAGTTAAATTTAAATAACTAAATCAGACTAAAAAGAATAATAACTTACAAATTAAATAAAATTGGATTCTCAACTATTAAAGCGAATTGTGATCGACTTATTTTTATCTATTCATGTATAGAAACCATGATCCTACCTTTTACGATCTATTGATATTATACCTTCTATATATGTTCGATTGATATACAATTTTATGAATCAAAATTAAATAATAGAAATGACACTTTATGCCATTAACCTCTTGTTTAGGGAGCCCTAACCTTATGAGTTGGAGAACTCTTTTTGTTAAAATGAATTGTTGATCTAATAACCTCGCTTACAGGATCTCCGAACTCCAGCCAACTAACAAATCTGTAGAAAACAGAGAATTATTAACCTAATGCCACAATTCATGGATCTCTAATTAAACTCCGGGTGGCAAACCAAAACTAAAGGCAAACAACTTAACAAAGCAAAACCAAGGGGCTGAACCAGCCACCTAGAGAAAGATGAGGGACTCGTACCATAGTTAAGCCAATAACCATCATTTTCCTCAATTCTTCTTGGTGAAGAAGCAACATCCCGCACTGCCGCCAAGAGTACCCGTCGTGTGCTGCCACTTGAAACTTCACAGCGCCGCCGGCACCCCACTTCCCCACCAACCCAGCTTCCAGACGCACCTTCTCCGCCCCCTCCTCCCTTATTTTACTGCTTGCCACCCATTTTACATAAAACATAAAAAAGGTTTTTATTTTTTTATTTTTTTTTATATTTTATAATTAGGCAATGGAAAAAGCTATGTAAACTTATGATAAACAAACTTTCATTAAGCCCTCTCCAAATCAGTCAATTCCATTTTAACATTGTATAGTCTAAATTAAGCAATAAGTTTAGGATATTTACATATGTGTTTTTTTAGAAACTATTGTTAGTTTACTCATCATTCATCACAATAAATTAACAAAAACAGAGTTTTCATCACAAGGAACATTTTACATATAACAGCAGAAGGGATTTTTTAAATTAGGCAATGGCAAAAAAGGATGTACACTTATGCTAAACAAATTAACTTTCATTAAGCCCTTCCCAAAACAATCAATTCCATTTTAACATTGTAGCCTAAATTAACCAATTAGTTACAATATTTACATATGTGCAACATATATATATATAGTCAAAATATATATTTGTAGGCTACCTACATTTTTTAGAAAATTACTTTTCTTCATGTACCAAGATATTTTTCTTTTTTTGGGTGATGACCATGTACCAATAATTAATGATTAGGTTGCTATATATTTTTCTTTATGGGAATTATGTTGCCATATTGAATGTAATCAGTATCCAATTTCCTTCCATATATTGAATGTCAAAGCTTTAAGGCTAAATAACTTGGGGGTTGTTTAGAATTATTGTGATGTACTAGCTACATATATCTTATTAATAGTTAAATATTGATATATATATATATATATATCTTATTAATAGTTAAATATTGATATATATATATATATACGTATATATTTAGTGAAAATAGACACCCTGAGTTTGAATATTGACGACATTTTGAATAAGATGGGAAATGAAGAGGAAGATTGCCACCAAATTATTTCATAACCTACTCATTGAAATATGAGCTAAACCTTAGTCAATTGAGTCATTATTTGCGAATTTAACAAAATGTATATATATGGTATAGAGAAGAAATTAAATTTAGAAATATACCAGATACAAATTAAATAAAGCTAAATCATATGCGGCTAGTCAAAGAAATTGTGATTGACACGTTTCTATTTGTTTATATATGGAAATTACGATCTTACTCTCTGTGATCGATTAATATATACATTTTTATACATTAATATTGATGAATAGAAATTAATAGGCATTCTATAGGCATTTAACTTTGAATTAAGCAATTTTTTCTGCACTTTTTTCGTTTCAATGTAGAAAATCATTAGTTTAACATCATAATGTAGAAATAGAGAAATGTTCTTGTAATTGGCACCAATTCTTTGCTAATCCTTTGAAAACAAAAATTATCTCCAATACAAACCCATGAAAATAATCACAAAAGCAAAAATTAGTTAAAATGAACCATGATAGCATAGCCAACTAGGGAATTTAAATTTCTTACCAACCAGCATTATTATAGAACCTATGCCATATAGATTTCTTTCCTTTATTCATTTTAACCTTAATATCTATAATAAAAATTTCCAATTCTACCCATGTTCTTATCTTCTCTTTGAACCCTTCCCTTAGCTATAAATACCACCAATTGGCACCACCATAGAATCACATTTATCCACCTCCTATCACTTTTCTTATATCACAAAAGTGGGTAGTAATATGACGAGGAAGAAGGTGAAGCTCACATGGATTGTCAATGACAATGCACGAAGAGCCAGCTTGAGGAAGAGAAGGCTTGGACTGTTGAAAAAGGTTAGTGAACTAACCACTCTTTGTGGGATCAATGCTTTTCTCATTCTTTATAGCCCAGATGAAGTGGAGCCTGTTGTGTGGCCATCGCGCCCTGTGGTACAACAATTGCTAGCCAGGTTTCATGCCATGCCTGAGATGGAGCGAAGTAAGAAGATGATTAACCAAGAAAGCTTTATGAGGGAAAGGCTAGCAAAGGTTCAAGAGCAGTTGAAGAAGCACCAAAATAAGAACAAGCTATCAGAGGGAACCAACCTAATGCATCATATCGAGAGTGGGAGGGACCTAGACAGCTTCAGTCTCAATGAACTACATGTGTTAGTTTGGTACATAGAGGAACTGAATAAGGATCTTGGGAAACATATGGAATATTGGCATCAGGTATATGTAATAACTTCAAAACCTTAATTCTTCACTATAAATAAGGTGTACTAATTAACTTCTTGATGATTGGAAAAACTAACAATACCAGGTTCTCCAGCCTCCTCAAGAAGAAGTTCCATTGCAACACTTTGAAAGGGAGGAAATGGTTAGGGGAGGTGGCGACAACCTTGGCCTAAAAGGTAGGGATTTTAATGAGTCTACAGTGTGGGATCAATGGTTCATTGACATGATGAACAGTGAGAACAGGGGGCAAAGTAGTAGTAATATAAGTGACATTGGGGTCCCACAAGACACCTATAAGGGCAAGTCCACCATTGATGACATGGTTTTGCCTCGTCATTCATTTCTTGGTGGATCTGACATGGGGTTGGTACCTCATGGGAATTTCAATCCCCCAAGTACTGAGATCCAAGGGCTGCAGCCTGGTAATTTGATGGGTTTCAAGGTTCCATATGGTGGTGGTTCGACTGAGACAGGACAACAACCCTTAGGTAATATTGGAGGCAACATTACCAATATTGCTGGAAATGAATTTTTTAGGCAACCTTCTAGACAACTTGGTGAAAGTAGCAGCTCCAACAGCAGCACTGAAAATGACAATCCGTTTCAATTTGATTTTAGCAAGACCTGGCCATCCCCATGATTTATGTTTTCTGCCTTTTGTTTCATCGTCAATCAGTTTATCTTTTGTTTTTTGATGCTATCCTCCATCTCCCAATGTTTGTTGTCTGCTGTTATGTTCCATTTCAATGTTTATCCATAGCATGACCCAAGGATTTTGGGTCATTAAGCTGCTATGTTATGTTTTTGTTTGATGTTTTTTAAATCAATAATGTTGTTCTTTTTCTTTCATAAAAGTGATAAATGTTATTGTGTCTGGGGTCAATAAGGGAGAGGATTACCTCCGGTTGTGTAATCCATGGTTATTGAAAAAATAAAAATGTTGATTTTCTTGTTTATTTTAATACTACCCCTCATTATATTTCAAACATGTAAGAAGCTTTTACTAAAGAGATTTAAGGATGGAAAAAATGTAGGAAAATAACATTTTTAATGTTGAAATAAGTTTTCTATATCTTTTCAATTAAAAAAAAAAGTACATAGAATATAAAAAATTTTAAAAATATGATTTATTAATTTCAATTTGCATGCAGTTCTAAGAATGAATATATGTTGGAATATAAAATATACCAAAAATATTTTAAATAAGAATATGATTTATTTACAATCTTATATTTATAGAAAATGATTAGTACAACCTCCTAATAACACCTTCCACAACACAAATAAAACAATACAAGAATTGAATCCTTAAGTTTAAGGTTAATGAAAGAGATACCTTAGTTCATTAATCTAAAGAATTAAAAATTGTGTCTAAGCTCCTAAATTAGCAATTGCACTTTGGGATACAAATATAAATTGTTGTCAATTAGACCTTGAATTCAAAGAATTTAAGTATAGTAGCCACAATAGTACAAAAGATATTGAAGGATTGTTGAATTTTACTGTAGATTTATCATATCATGTATCTACAAGGTTAAATACCCTTTT